TATATATTATATAATATTAAAAGATGTATTCCGCTCTCGATATTGTAAACAACAATACCATATATAAAGGGAAGCTGTAAAGGGAAAAATACGAAAAGTATAAATGGTAAGTATGGTACAAATAAATGTCTAAAATAAAAAATATCTCTGTGTCTGCAATTAATCGTTTTTTCTTCGCGGCATCGTGTTACGCGCCCATCACGCTCACTAAAATAATAATAGTTATAATTCGGTAGAATAAAAATATTACTTCCTGGAATAAACGCTGAAGGAAAAATTACGTAAGAAAAAAATAGCGACACATAAGAGGTGGTAAATATAATATAAATGGTAAGTATAGCGCGCGGTGAGGACCGGCGGCGGACCGCGATCGGAGGCGGACCGCGCCTGGAGATGGCGGTAGGGACCGGTAGCGGCAGCGAACCACACTCGACGGCCAATGATCTCGCGTGACGTCATCACCGCGACGCAGATCCCGCAACGCTTTTTTCCACACACTCCATTTGTCGCTAGGTAATTTCCCGCACCCGGGACATCCTACTCCTCCCCCGGTCCGCAACGTCATCCCCCACAACGTCACCCACTGTGGCGTTATCTCCCGCACATCCCCGTGACGTCATCCCTTCATCCAGGAATGTCATGCACTGTTTCGTCATCCTCCTCCCCCTCCCTCGTGACGTCAATCCCTTGCCTAGTGACATCACCCTCTCATCTCCCACGGACCTCTCCCCCGCTCCACGGGTACCCCATCGCTCTTCATTCCTCCTCAGAACTCCCGAATTAGAATCCGCCTATATACCGAACTAATGTACTTAATGTAATGTAATTAATATTGTTAAAAATTTTCATTTGTAAAGTATAGATACTTACACTAAAAAAAAAATATAATAGCTTAATGGCCATCCTTCGTATAGTGTCAACGAAAAAGAATAATTACTTATCGTAGGGCTCCTTTAAATTGAGATTAATCGCGAACACAGGCTGTCAATGACAAGTCGCGATTATTTTTCGCGAGATCTTCCCTTATTATTCACGTTAACACAACACACTAAGCTGATGTCAATCATCAGCACACGGCTCTTTCGTCTAAAAGCACTTTCGGTCCGACCACTCACGAGACACTCACGAGACACTCGATCTGTGATTGAGAGCAAAATTTTGGCAATCTCACTTACTGATTGTGACAATTCACTCATTGTCCACGTGTTCGCGCGTGACTATAATTTCGCCGATTAGCTCACCGTTATTCATTTGCAGAGTCCAGTGACGTGCGACACTGGAATTGTATGGGAGCCGCGACAAATTCGTCAAGTGTAGGAAGGCGAGCGGGATGTTCGAAAGTTGAAAGAAGGGGATAATCATCGCGTTTAAAATTACTGCGCTCTATGCAAATCAGCGCAATCATCTATGACATACAAGCGGTATCGATTCCATTAATCCATACGGCGCTCCAATGAACGATGGCGGCGAGGCCCCTCTGAATCAATTGCCAACCGCCGCGTCGCGGTTAAACGGGCAAAGCAGCCAAATAATTTAAATTGTAAGCACGGCTTTTCTAGAAGGATCGCGTAGAAATGGAAATCGTTATATCGCCGCGTAATCCTCCAGATCCTTCTAGAAAGGCTTCTGTTGTCTATACATTAGCGCGAGCGAAGTGAGCTCTCGCTTTTTATTCTCGTCTCGTGTGTTAGCAGAAGCTCGTCTCGTAATCGCGAATAAGTTGATTTTCGTCAACAACTCTTTAGCGTGATTTAACGCGTAATCAGTGATCTTTGTCTGGATCTGGAGATGTTTAAATAAAAAGAGTTGTCCGAATTAATTAATCTCTTTAAGGCAAACTAAATTGTACTGTTAAATTTCCTCACTCTCTGTCAGTTCGACGCGAACAACTTCAAAAATAGATACTTTATACTTACTAGTATAGTGCCATTCGCAATCAGTACGTAGTACTTATTCAAAATCAAGCATCAGAAACTGAATTCGTTGCAACAATTTACTTTTTTTTACACTTAACAGCGTACTCAGACAAAACAAATGCATCAGCAAATCTATTTTCTGTATAGCATCGTATTAATAAGACGCAGCGCCTTATTAATACATTAATGTCAACATTGAACACTAAAATTAGCTATTCTACGATAAAAATGAAATAAATAAAATTTTATAAGCGTAATAACTTCTTTATTCTTGCTAGTTTTTAATTGTCCATAATATTTCGTACATTCTTTTATATATTTTTGAAAGTATTTGATTGATTTTAGCAATTTAATAGAGTCGCTATTGTTAGTAATATTATTATTATTATTGTTATTATTAATACAATTTAAGAAACTTATTTCAATAGTCATTGCTGTACTGATACTGCACTATGACGAATTGTGTTGTATTTGTCTTCGTCGCTATCACGCGCAGCCAACGCGATATGAAACGAATACAGAGTGCATATATAGGGACAATTTTGTTCATATAGTTCTGAAAAATTATTTTTCGGAATTAGATTTTAATACACATCATTATTTTTAGCATAAAATGCTCTTTCATTTTTGATATGTAAAAATTAAAAAATTTTTGAAAATAAAGATAGAGGTGAGAGTAAACATTAAAGAAATAATTAAAAAACTTTTTTTATTGTAGTTATAAAGTACTCTTAACGTTATTCAATTTTTATTCTAGAAAATTTTTTCTTATAGTTTCGAAAATATTCGCTTTGAAAGAAAAAGACCAATCTTTTTCAAGGAAGGTTCCGCCCATTTGAAGTGCGACTCAGCCGGTATAAAAAAAATATATATCTCTTATTTCTGTCCATAAAACAACATACTAAAACCTCATTTAAATGATCTCTCAGAGAGAGATCTTTGGTTGTGTTCACTTATAAGGTTAAAAGTTTTTGTTTCACAAAAGAAAGATTTATATCCCTATTAAGCTGGACCCCCTCTCTAGCGCAAATTAAGTTCGGACATAATCAAAAATTAAAATTTAGTGGTATTTTGTTGCTAATTAGTTGCTCTAGAGCAAATTTTGTTGCTTCAACCGTTTAGCAATAAAGTTAGTTACTTACATGTTTTTGGTAACAAAATGTTCCTCGAATATACTATCAAAATATGACTATTTTCGATTTTGTTGCTAACTATGACACACGAAAAATAATTAGTTTATCAGCATCGGCGCGGTCGATTTATGTGTCAGAGTTAGCAACAAAATCGGAAATGGGTATATTTCGATAGTACAAGTATACGTTACAAAGAATATTTTGGTACTAAAAACTTCTGAGCAACAAATTCTTTAAACAATCTTTAATTGAGTAAAGTACTCGGCGTGGGCGCCGGTGGTGATAAACTAATTATTTTTTGTGTGTATAGTTAGCAACCAAATAAAAAATTGACATATTTTGATATTGTAGTATGGTATATGCTACGAGAAACATTCTAGTATCAAAATCATGTGAGTAACTAACAACTCTGTAGCTTTTGAAAAAGCAACAACATCTAAGGTACTTGTTTTTTTGATATTGTAGCTCTGTAAATATTTTTTTACTATGGAGGTTTCAACTTGTCATTAAGCTGGATCCATCTATTTCTTTTTTTTATTGCTAAACGTTTGGAACAATATAATTCGCTCTAGAGCAATAAAATAACACTAAATTTTTGACTATGTTTGAACTCAATTTGCGTTGGTGGGGAGTCCAGCTTAATAGTAAGATTTATACCATATTCAAATGACGTATATTCGAAGGCTGAGCAAAGACTTAGAATAGTACACAAAGCAGTAATTGTGTCCAACACAGTAGATGTTCGATCTTCTAAGAAATGGCGTTGCAATATGATAAGACAGATGAATGATTAGATAAAGACAGATGAATGCGTATGAGCAAGATACAACAATATATGATAGATATAAGAAATGAATGAAAGATGTCACTATTATCAAATTTGGAATTTAAAAAAGTCTGTACTGTCGATCTCAATCAAATTCGGCCGTCGATCCAGCTTTCCCTTAACTCCCCTGACAGTTAATAAATAGTCAAAGAAAGGCTCGTAAAAATAATAGACTACGAATACGCATTGAGTAAAAATCAGTAATCACATTTTAAATGTTTTTTATGACTATTTACTGACTACCACAGTAGAGATAAGAATACCCTTAGCCAATTTTCAAAGCAATCTCAACATTTTGTTTCAATCAAATTTTCTTTATTTACAAATGGTATGCAAAAATTGAACGTGTCGCTTGTCATATTTCTCGCTTTTGATGTCACGATTCAATATGACTGATGTAAGTACTCAGAAGCCTTAAAAAATAAAATTTTAAATAGCATTATAGAAACTGCCATGTTATCTGATAAAAACATTTTCTAGTTTATATTTATATTCCCAAAATTTTATTTTTAGCTTTTGTTTAAAAAATATTTAGTCCAAAAAGAAGTGATATAACGGTTTCGATGACATTCGTCTCTACTGTAGCATTGATAATTTTTTTATTTTAATTCAGAAGTAACCTTAAAAATGAGGCCTTTAAACTAGAATACTTCTTTAAAATAATTTTTTTTCTAGATGGCAAAAGTTTTACGGACAACATCTCCCAATTGATGACAGTGCATGCATCATTATGAGACACAGTGATACTCGTAAACACTGCTTATGGTGTTGTTACGCTTATGATTACAATCACCTGCCTGATACATTTAATCATTACACCGTACTTTTTAATAATGGAAGCTGATGGTAGACGTGAACCATTGTTCCTTGCGGTACAAGGATTATGGTGCATCTTTCATATCTGGAGATTATTCATGATCGTACAGCCTACGTACGCTGCTACAACACAGGTCGGTTCATAATTTACATAAATAAATAAATCGATTAAAATTATAATTTACCACATTTAAAAGTAATTAAAAATACTACAATTAAAAACAAAATTTTATAATCGATAGATATTTCCTATTTTCTGAAAGGAAAATAATTTAAATATTTTATAAATAAGATTAATAACGGATTAATGATAATTTAAATAAATACAAGATAAAAACGGACACATAATAAGAAAATAGGCCTAAAAATTACTGCGCAGAATCAATAAATTAATACAATAAGCTAACGTAAAAATAACGTAGAAATAACGAATCAGTTATTAAATATATATATAACAATTAGTTATTGTGAACAATATTACTTAAGCCTTTGTGACCTAAAAACGATGGTTTTCAACCTGGTAAAAACAGTCGCACAGAATATTGGAGATTCAGATTAAATCCTCGGCCAAGGAAATATTTTCCGCAATGCGTTCTTTACAGATTTTAAGATATTTCTAATTAAACTTGGGGGATCATTAATATTTTAAATTGCGTTGAAAGTCCGATTATAATTGGCATGGTTATACTTCTAAGGTAAATTCACTTAAAGAATACATATATCAATTAGTTTGATATTTAATTTTGACCGAAAGTGACATTTCTCGTAGTTAAGAATATACTCACATAAATGATCTCGTTTCTAATCTAATTATTATTAATGTTTTACATACTATTTATCAAAAAATAAGTAATCTAAAGGGTATAACGGAATAAGCCTGAAATCTGTCCCATATTAATTGAGCTCAAATCGGTGTCAGTAGACACACCTATGAGATGTAAAACTCCTTCAAAAGTTAACCTTGAAATTGCATTTTTGTGGGAGTTATGGAAGGGAAAAGCAAACTAAAAATAGTAATTTCTCTCGAAAAAGGCTGGATCGATTTTAATGAAAAAATATATGCTGTAAACATAGAAGGTAAACATAGAAGAGGTAATTTTAACAAAATTTTTTGTGATTTTTGTGATAAATAGAAAATCGGTAAAAAAATTTTTGAATTTTAAATTAATTTTTTTTTATAATATATGTGTGTATTTTAGTGATCACCTTTATATTTTCACGAAAATATTTCGGAATTCTCTACTTTAACATATAATTTTTTTAAATCAATCAAAGTGATGGAACATAGTTACAAATAACAATCATTCGCATAACGCCGCGCTACGCTGCGCCGGTTGAACGGTTGCAGTCGCGGTGCATGACGGTCATTACCGTGAAATTTACATACTAACCATTATATTGATATTTGCTCGATCAACTGTTGTAGGTCGAACGTCAAGTGGTTTGGTGCGATTGACTCGCGATCTGTGAATCCAGGCTCGATCCCATTTGCGCTTATATACGCGCTCATATTTTTCGCGTAAGAACCGAAGAACGTCTCCATTTGATGATTAAGAGAAAGTTACCAGCGCTGTTCAGATTCGGCGTTAAACTGTCTCCTACAGCACAAAGTTGCAGCAACACTACTGCAACATTACATGTTGCAGCAATATAGCAGATATTTTGCAACGATATTGCTGCAAATTCTATGCTGTATGGGATAGGTCCCATATGACATACTGAATCCGAGAAAAAATAAATCTACTATTATGAAAAGTAAAAACAAGCGAGTCTCTCTGAATCTCCTCTGTCCTAAAGAGACTTAGGCCGGTATTTATATAGTTTCAGATTTTATATTTAAGACCGTCGTTCGATCTTAAGTTCGATCTTAAGAAATCGAACCAAGAGCTGCATACCAGAGAGCTACATTTTAAAACATTACTTAAGACGGTCTTGAAATAAGAATTGAATATGAATATCGGTCTTAAACATGAAAAAATTCAAATAAAGCGTGGTAATTTGGTCTACTCGAGTAGATCATAAATTCCAAATCAAAGAATACAAAAGAAGAAGAAAAAGAAACTGTTATAGATTTTGAAATTTTCGGCGTTGTTTCAACTCATCTCTATTTCAATTCACCTAAATCTTTCCTACTAAAGTCGAATTAAGATATTATGATAAAAGAAAGGTGAAATATTTTATACAAAAAATGACATCCAAATTCAAATATAATTCAGATATAGTAAGATATATTCAATCTCATTAATTTCCTAATAAATTCATTTATCAGTAGCAGTAATCCAGTTTTGTAAGTCATAACCAGAATACTAATATTTACGCATCATATTTATAGTTTTCATGTACTAATATGTATAACAATACTTATAACCTTAACATAAAATTTAATCTCAGCTTTAATACAGGGATATCTATTTCAAGTGAGAGGAATGAAAAATGATAAAACTGTAACATATTTTTGAAGAAAGCTATTGGTAGAAAGAAAATTATAAATACTCTCGACATAATTCATTTTTTTTGCCTTATCAAGAGTATTTATAATTTTCTTTCTGCTAATAACTTTTTTCAAAAATATATTACAGTTTTTGCATTTTTCATATATTTCTCTTACTTGTAAAGTCGAGATTAAATTCAATCTTAGGTTTTTAAACATTATTACATATTATTACAAAAAAATTATAAGTATGATACGTACCAGTATACTGGTTACGGCTTACAAAAAACTGGATTACTGCTACTGATAAATAAATTTATTAGGAAATTGATGAGATTAAATATATCTGAATTATATCTGAATACGGATGCCACTTTTTGTATCAAATATTTTATCTTTCTTTTATCATGCTATATCAATTCGACTTTAGCAGGAAAAAACTAAGTGAATTGAAATAGAGGTAAGTTGAAACAACAACGAATATTCCGAAATCTATAATAGTTGATCGGGCAAATATCGATATTATGGTTAGTAAATTCTGCGACAACAACCGTAGCGCACCGTGATTGTAACTATCGAACCGGTGCGGCGTAGCGCGGCGTTACGCAAATGATTGTTATTTGTAACTATGTTCCACCACTTCGATCGATTTGAAAAAATTATATGTTAAAGTAGAGAATCTCGAAACGTTTTCGTGAAAATATAAAGATGATTACTAAAATATATCACTAAAAAAAATTTATAAAGAATTCAAAAATTTTTTTATTGGTTTTTTATTTATCACAAAAATTATATAAAGTTTATTAAAGTTACCAGTTCGATGTTTACAACATATATTTTTTTTATTAAAATCGATCCAGCCGCGTTTTTGAGAAAAATTACTTTTTTAATTCTCTTTCTTCCTCCATAATTTTCACAAAAATGCAATTTCAAGATTAATTTTTGGAGAAGTTTTACATCTCATAGGTATCAACAACTGACACCAATTTGAACTCAATTAGTGCGGAGGCAGATTTTATATGTTTATTCCGCTATATCTTTTACAAACCGGGGTCCATATAAGATTTATTTATACTGATTATCAACAATACATAATTTTGCAACATCAAGATTATTTCATTTAGTTGGTATTCGTCTCTCGCTCTTTTTTGTTAAATTTTTTTTTTTTAATAAATAATAGGGAGCGTATAAATAATAATATATTGATAATATACTGATGATACTCAAATCTTGACCAAAACGTCTACTTTATCATAACAAAACTTTAAATATATGACTTTAAAACATCTAGTGTTGTGGTTGTATGCTCCCTATTATTTATATTTTGTATTCTTTAGCCACCTCTAAAAAGTTAAATTTTTTTTCTTTTTATTTTTACAAAAGAACACAACGAGTGGCCCCTTCCGATTTTAATAAGTTTCTGGTATATTGAAATGTAAAATAGAACAAAAGTAAGACATACGTTTTTTTATATATGCTGAATTGTACATTAAGAGGATGAAGCCTTCCCTTGAAAAAAATCGGGCGGTTTTTTTATTTTAGTTTAAATATTGTCAAAACTATGAGATAGAGAAAAATGTTTTAATAAAAGTTGAATGTCTTTAAGAGTACTTAATAATTACAATTAAAAAAATTTAGAAATCAAAGTCTTAAACGGTCTAGCTAAATTTTAAATGCTTGTATGCAAGCATTTAAGATCTAGCTAGATCGTTTAAGGCTTTCTATAGTTTGTGTTATCGCACGCACGCACGCACGCACGCACGCACGCACGCACGCACGCACGCATGCACGCACGCACACGGTCCTATAATATATTATATTAAAAAAATTTATTTAATTATTTATTGTATGTCCCCATCTCTATCCCTAATTTTCAAAATTTTTAAATTTACATAATGACAAAAATTAAAGAATATTTTACGCTGAAAGTAACGACCCATATTGAAGTTATATTCTGTAAACTCATTTTTGGAATATGAACAAGGAACACTTACGTTTATGCGCTCTATACTTATCCGTCTCATTTCGGCGTTGGCTGCGCGAGATAGCGTTGAAGGCAAACACAATACAGTCCAGTATCAACTGAAGTAAAATAACTACGTTTATAAAACGTTTAGGAATGGTTATTTTTGTTTTAAAACCGTATGAAATTATTTTAGAAACGTTTTTTAGAAACCGGTTAAATAACCATGTTGTACAAACGTTGGTAAATGTTCACCTTTACACAGCCCATTCCAAATGACCTCCGAGTGATCTTAACCTTGACCTTGACCCTCAAGAAGATCTAGGTCACTGACCTTTTTCGTTGCTCGTTGCTCATTGAAAAATTACGAGCAAAAAAAGTTTATTTGGAATAGTGGTGTGAACATTGTAAAACAAGCGATGTAGAACTATAATGCAAATATACCATGTTCTGACATTGTGAACATAATTTCTCGTCTTAAGAGGATGCTGGAGTGACGGTCGAACTTGATCGAGGTAATAAAATCGATTTTGTATCCACTTATGCTCTCTGAAGGCTCAGGCTTTCATGCACTGTGAGTGCTATAAACTCATGTTTCCAGGTGTTTCCAGCTGAGCACCGTTTCCAGTCGCTCGATTTGCTAACATGTCGTGTGTGAGCGTTTAGATAGAGCGCAGTCTGAAATATGATTGTGTTTTAAGTCAGACTGTCAGTACTTAAAATCTGTAATATAAGTGACGTAAAATAAAGAT